GACTTAGATACTTTTGCTAGACTGCCTTTCTTTGACATTTTCTAACGTAACTGAATTTTCTCTTCCGTAGGCAAGTGTAACGCTGTAGAGTCCTGAGGTGTGGTTCCCGCTGACAGTTGGTGAATGAAGGAGAGACACTTTTCCTATAAAAATATAGAACTCAACAGAAAAGCAGAATTCGAACGTGTGAAGAAATATAAATTTCTTAACACATTACAAAGTACAGTACTTGTTCAGATCATATCGCTATTAACCATCAGACGGACCCAGTTTTTCGCTGGGTCGGTCTGATGGTCTGAAATTTCCCAAAACTGTCATGAAAAAGAATTATTTTCTCGATTATTATTAAAAATGTCCCTGTACTTTATACTCGGACGTACGTACTTTAAACCTTAATTTCATGGACATATTTTAATATGCACGTGTATATACGTTCTTACAGATATCACAAAAAATATTCTTACCGGTTAGAGGGTTTTAAGCAAATGTCATTAAATAGAATTGTATTGGATGAATGCGAAGAATCTTGATGAGGATATTTATATTTACACTAAAACATAGCATAATAATGTTATGGTTTATGTATTTATATGCTATTTTTAGTAGAATTTTAAGTAAATTTTTCATTTCCCCGTGCAATGCAGCGCGTGACGAGTGTTAAGAGAAAAAAAGCAGCGCGTGACGAGTGTTTAAAGATTTTAAAAAATATTTTCCATTATAATTTATTAAAATTAATATTTTGCTAAAATATTTAATATACTGTTGTAATTTAATATTTTGGGGTATGTTTGGGAACAGTTTATAATTTAGACTGCATTTCCACGTCTGAAGCCATTTCTAATTTTCCTCACACACTCTCCTCTATTTTGTGGAATTTTGTTTCGCAGAGTTTTTTCGTGAATATCTACCATGTAAAAACATTGCTTATTCATTTATTCCTTTTATCTTTTAATTAGAGATTTAAACATATTTAATGATTTTAAGATCTGATAAGGCATAAAGAGAGACTTTGTATTTTATTTCACATGTTTCTAAGCCAACGCACGGGGGGAAATCTACCGGAACTTCCTGATACACAGCGACGTTGTTATGTGTACCTTCATGTCTCTGTAATCAGACTCGTTTCCTAGATGGCGTTTCAAGGACGACAGCTCACCATTGTCTGCTGCCACTTCCCATTTTCCTGTGTTGATGAAGTACATTTGAATAGATGCAGATCCAAATCCTCCGAATTAAAATGCAACAGGAATCGTTTGGCTTTCGTTTTAATTATACGCCTCTAAACGGCCAATAAATCTTTCGTCAGATTAAGAGTCATTTATAGAGATATAATGTGGCAGTTTTCGAATGTAATTGACCGGTACGAATTCTTTTTGCTTCTGAGAGGAAGAATTTCTCATTCTTACAATATTCATCAAGCGTTAAAAAGAACGCTTTAAAAAATCTTTCTAATCATAATCAGATCTCTAATTTGAAAAACTGCTAAACAAATGAAAGTATCGTTATCATTTTGATGTCTGTAGTTCATATAAAACGATTAATTTATATAGCTTTTTGAATTCACGGAGAATAATTTTTTGGAAATATGCAAAAATGACCTGGACTTACAAACCGTGATAAAATCATCACATTCAATTTTAAAAGTGCTTTTACAAGTTAAAAAATAATTCTTATTTTTCAATATACTGATAATTTTTCTGTAAACTTTAGTATCATACTTATGAAAATTATAATAATAAATAGTTAAGAATAAATTATAAGTTGTTGACAAAATCCTTATGAAACATTAATAAACTTATAAACAATAACTTTGCTCTATAAATATGATAAACCTAACACTATTCACTTTTTTATAAGAGCATTATTTATTTTTATTCCATACATGTAATGTACGTTAGATGTGTTTAAATTTTGACTCGTATCTTCTGTATAAGTGAATCGGTAGGACTATACCAACTGCTTTGCCATCACATGTTTCAGATCTGATCTTAGTGGATTATTTTGTAAGAACATATCGAAACATTTGTTTACTTATAAAAGTCGTCTTCACTGAATGGGCTGAGGATCAAGATCATAGATGCAATGGGGAAAATTGCTTCAGCAGCAACTGAGGAATATTTACAAGAAGTTAGAAAACCGATTTGCAAGCTAAGTCACGAAAGTGTGCGAAGAAACTCAGGCGATGATTTAAATGATACACTTTCTTAATCGAAATGCAAAAACACATTTTAAATAATGTTATTCTTCCACATATTTTATATTAGCTTCGCTATATGGAACATATATTTGGGTATTTGAAGTGGGTATTTGTAGAGTATGGTAACATGGGGTACTTGAAGTCATTATCATAAGAATTCATGGACACTTCTAGAGCCTCATTTACACAGCCTTTTATATATTCTTCGAAAATAGGATTGAAATTTGAGGTGCTTGATAATGTATGTATTAATGAACCTGTTGCTAACCCACGTGCAAAACTTCTACTATGTATCTCAACTGGTGATTTCGTAATTGCGGAGGAGATAAGTTGTAAATTTTATCTGTGGAATGCTATTTATAATCACATGATATGTTATTAAGTTCATAACAAATAAACTTAAAAAAAAGATTTTAAAAAACAAACGATGCCATATTTTATTACACTTACATTGAAAGAAACTTACTAAGTGTGTTTGTTTTCGGGGGAGAACATATCTGATAAATGTTTAATGTGTCTGTCTTCGTTTATGTAGCAGGTAACTTTACGGTAATCCATTCCGTTCCATACGCGTGCGAACATGATATAATTGATCAGATTCACGATTACAAAGATACATACGATTAACATGGAATGTAAGCACATAGGCAGCATCTCTGACAAACTCACACACACACACACAAAAAAAAAAAAAAAAGGATCACATAGTATTAAATCAGGGTAGCTAAAACTATAAACCATCATTTCTTCTGATTGTAGATCCTATCCACTTCTGTGACGCGTTTTAATTGATATACATTCTCAAATCGTCTGTGTCTTTGTGGAAAATTTGTCCGAGTTCTCTCGCAAATGATCTCAATATTGGACTTTGTGGTCATGAGCCAGATAACCATCTGTCTTGGTGAAATAAGTAATTAATGACATTTTCATTCAAATATGGCATCAACCAAATTTCCATTATATCCTAGCGAGACATAAGTACCGCACAATAAAAGGTAGACGCATGAAATATTTTTTAAAAATAGAGAAAACAAAAATGCCTTCGATTTTATTTGTGTAATAAAAATGGATATAAGTTGCATAGCCCGCAGAAAATATTTCACGAAATTATAAATAACCTTGTATTATTCACGAAATTATAAATAACCTTGTATCTAAAAGGAATAGGAGAAGTAATATAACCCTGCAATTTAATTTCTTTAACAAAGTGAAAGAGATAGTGATAGCGCAAATATGTATGTTTAAACATCGAATAACTATTAAATATCTCTGAAAAATAACTAAAGTAAAAAGTAGTCGGGATAGACCTAATTAATCTTAATTTTTTTAGGCTTCAGAAACAGAGGTAAGATAAAGAGATTTTATTTCAATTAGCTTTTCATTCCATTAAAGTTCAGTCTTTCTTCCGCAAAAATCCCACTGTCGTAAGTTGTTGTTTAATAATTCGTTACTAAAGCGAATAACTATACACTAAGCAAAATGTTCGCTCTTGATTCATTACTTTATAAGGTATTTCTCCCGCCTTCTTAGCGTGCCTTCGTGGTGTGCCGGTCTGCAGGCTGGGAGCGTATTCCAGAGGTCCGTGGTTCGATTCCCGATGAAGGCGTTGCTCATTTTTCACTTCTCTTGCTTCAAAAAAATACCTAATGTCTCTAAAACTTCTCCAATACTAACCATAAAGAAATAATCACGGAGCAGAAATTCTACTTATTTTGTCGGTGGTTTTCATATCTTTCGAATATACGAGGAATAACTCCTTGATCGAAAATTATTAAGGAGTCAAAAAAAATAAATTCAAGAATTTTTTCTGTAGAGACATTAGGTTATTTCGAAGCAGGAGACATGAAAACATGTGCAATGCTGGCATCACGAACTTCTCGAATACGTGCGAGCGTGCTGACCATTACACCACGAAGGCATGCTAAGAAGGCGGAAGAAATAACTTATATATCTATAAATGCAATAAAAGAAAAGAATAAATAAATGAAATGAAATAAACAATAATTATAGTAGAAAGTCAACTAAAACGTGAACTGAATAAAATGAGGGCTCATAATAAAATGACTAAAATGTATTGCCGAATAAAGCTACAGATCAACAGATGGTTAAAGATGGGGACACAAATAAGAAGAAAATACTAAAAATATTTTCAGAGTTCCAATCCGAAATACTTTTTAAGAAGCAAACTGCCTTCGAGGAAAGCTGAACCTTTTATTTATTTTTCCTATCTTTAATCGGGAAATGCTGACAGCCTTTTTCTAATTTGAAACAACAACGCGTTTGTTTTAAAATTAATAAACATAATTATCATTATATTTACTTACCTTAATTAGCAAAATCTATAGACAAATTCCCCATATACTTCAATTTATACAAATTTCGAAAATTGCTTTAAAGTAAATGCCATTTGCTACTTATCACTAAACTTTAAATTTTAAAAAATTCAAAGAAATCATGTACTTTAAAATAGTTTTGTTTATAATTTAACATTCAAAGCTTCTATTAATTTTCAACCATTTATTCAGTGAAAAAATATACGAGGTTAGAGCACAAGTTTCAAGGTAGTATCTAAAAAGTCGCTAAAAGAGCTTAAGTAAAGCCTAACTGCATTTTGCATAAATTTTGTGTAATTTCGTCCGCCCCCTTATGAAGAGAAAGAAAAAGAATTCAGCTATTGGTTTTTTTTTCGCCTTACTAACCACTACTTACTGCTGAAGGTCAGTTTTTCTCCAATTCATGATAGCAAGTTTCGATTCCTATTTTCTTTCCTTGCGCAGCATATTGCGCAGCGGCGCTTTTAGGAAACAAAACGCAAAATAAACATCAGCCCTTAGACAGCGGCTGAATGGGCATCTCGATTTTGCAGCGGCAAACATTAGTCATAGCTCAAGTTTGGCGACGGTCTTTTTCAAGCAGTGCTAAAATCATGGACATTGGATTCAACGGTAAACGCGCTCTCGTGACAGGCGCAGGAAAAGGTAAATTCGTTCTCTCAATGCCTTCCATAAAGCCCGCATGAAATTTTTATTTTCATCGAAACTATTTTTTCATGTTTATGTAAATATAAGCATAAGCATAAATGTTTTCGTAGCAGGTAACGCAACTTAAAATGACATTTTACGACGCTGTAAACTTGTTGTTTTGTCAAGGTCATACCATTTTAAAAAATGTCAAAATTTAGAGATGGTTAAGCCTTATGATTACTGTAACTTAATTCTGAACTCATTATTTCCAAATGAAGTTTTTATTTTTATTTAAATTATAAATTAAAAATAAAATAAAAAATATAACATATAACATTTATAAATAATAAATTAAAAATTTATTATTTATAAAGTCTTTAAAAGGGTAATTTAGTGAAGTACTGTGAAATCATATTTTGATAGGAATTGGACGAGCTCTAACTCTGAAACTTGTTGAAGGTGGGGCCGAAGTGGTAGCAGTTAGTCGTACTCAATCTGATTTGGATGCTTTGCAGAAAATCGTAAGTTCATGAACATTTTTTTTTTTTCTTTAATCTGACTAACTATGTTCATTAGAAATAAGTAGACATTTCTATCGCTGTAAAAATATTTTCTGAGTAATATCACTGCTGCTCATTATCTCATCCACTATAGGAATGAAACCTAATATGGAAAAATATCGCCTATAATATAGTATGCGATCTACCGCTTTTTATTAGTTATTTATCTTTTAAGACGGTGGCTCTAGAATTAGTTGTTTTAACCATTTCTTTTTCCCACCGTTTTAGCGCACGTTTGAATTTAAAAACAGCTCTTTTGTGGCGCCATCTAAGAAATAAATAATTAACTAAAAGCTGTAGATCGCATACTACATCATTACCAAAAAATATTTTCATGTAACTGATAACTAATTTTCCAAAAATAAAATTTGAAATCTATATAATGTAATGGAAAACTGGTAAGGATATATGCCATAATGATTATAAAAATTATTTTGCTAGACTGTGTTAAAATGAAATTTTGGAAGGAAGGAAAACATAAAATTACGTCTGTTTAATGTCTTGAAAAACTGCATGATGTATAATTTTACATACGTTTATTCAGACATCAGATTAAAATCAATAAATTAGAGTTTAATGATAATTTAACTTACCAAGTTATTGGATAAGAAAACTCTACGATAGTCATTTAAAATGATATCGGAAGCATCTTCTAATGTGTAAACATATGAATTAGACAGAAATCATTATTAGTTTCAAAGGCAGTTCTAAGATTTGACATGTTAATTAAATAGTAGCTTTTTCTTGAAAATTTACGCTAATTTTTTTAATTAAAATCACTTTTTTTTTTTTTTTTTTTTTTTTTTTAGACATCTCTAAAAATTCACGTAAACCATATGTCACAAACAATTTCTACCTTCATAAACAGCAAATTTCAATAATAAAGATTTTTCTGAAGATTGGAGTATTTCAATTCTGCTAATATTTTGATTATGTAGTATCTTATTGAATTCACTGCTCCTGAGAAGTGTGTATGCGTAATTTGTAAGATAAATTTTAACTGATTCGCGCACATTTCAATGTGTGTCAAAAGAGCAGTATTTGGATTTAGAAAACATATCAGCTCTTATATTACTTCGAGGTTTTCCGTCATTAAACTTATAAGGTATTTCTCTTGCCTTCCTAGTGTGCCTTCGTGGTGTAGTGGTTTTGCACACTGGACCGGTATCCACAGGTCCGTGGTTCGATTCCCGGCGAAGGCGGTTGCTGATTTTTCATCTCTCCAGCTTCCAAAAATAACCTAATATCTCTACAGTGGCGCCCGAACTAAAACGATTGTGGATGATAACTCTCCACACCCAGGATTTGGTGATTGGGTCTCCTAAGAAATCCCAGTCGTCCTTTAAAAGGGGGAGTATAAAGGTATTTCTCCCACCTTCCTAGCGTGCCTTCGTGGTGTAGTGATTTTGCACACTGGGCCGGTATCCAGAGGTCCGTGGTTCGATTTCCGGCGAAGGCGGTTGCTAATTTTTCATCTCTCCGGCTTCCAAAAATATACTAATGTCTCTACAAACTATCTTATTACAAGCAAATCACATCAGTATCTCTTGACGAAGCAAACGAATAGTAGTTGAAGTCGCATATGATCAATCTTTAGATCCCTTTGTCTGAATTTTCTGACCGAATACAGTTTTCGAGGCTTTCTGTCCGTGTAAAATAAATATGATCTAACTTACCATGCATGTGAAAGTTTCGCCTCTACTAGGCAAATAGTTTTCACGTATTTTGCTCGAAAGTCATTATTATTATAATTATTATTATTAGCATCACTACAAGTAAGGGAGGGATGCCTTCGTGGAGGACTTTCTAAGAGAAAATGGCTCGTATTAACACGTTACACAAGGGGAAAATGTTCGTTATTCGAACTTCGGACCGAACTACCAGTGTTCTGGGACTTAACGCTCGGCCGCTGGTGGGTCTGCTCGAAGTCATTAATAAATTAATTTTCCCATTACCTTGGCACCTGACAAGGTACAGAAAAATAAAAGAAATGGAATATGTTTCATACAAGTAATGTAACATAAAATTTATTAAAGCCTAAAAATATATATTGCTTGTGTTGAATGATTAAAAATAATTTCTGTTTTTCTAAATATTTTCTCTTAAAAATGTTTATCATACAAAATGGAGTAATATTTATCTTATTATTGCATATTAAAGCTTGTTTTATACAATTTTATTATTCTAAAAATGATTTTTATTTAATTTACAGAGCCCTAAAATTCAGCCGCTATGTTTAGATATTGGAAAATGGGAAGAAACGAGACACGCTATGAAGAATGTTGGGCCAGTTGACTACCTGGTCAACAATGCTGCCATCATGGATGTTAAGGAATACGGAGAACTCACTGAAAAAGAATTGGATAGGTTTGCAGCATATTTCAAATATTTCTTAATTAAAAAATCATAAAAACAAAAATGTGAAGGTATTAATCATAAAGCCCAAAATTTGCCGATAAAAATTCGCGTTTTTTTGGTATTTATTTTACAATTTTTGGCAAAGTTTCACATAAGCCAAAGAGCGAAGTATTAAGTTTTGTGCATATCATAATGGAAAACTGAGATTCCCAACTTTTTCTTGCATCGATCCCTTTTAACCTTTTGAGGCCGGGGCTTTGGTAGCTGTAAAAGTTACCAAAGGACGGGGAATCTTGAACCGAATGCTTTCCTCCCTTTAAGAAAATCACCTCCTATTTGCAACAAAGATTATTGTGTGTAGTTTAATGGATTCTCAGAGGGGTGCATCTATGTCGCAAAAGGAAGACCTTTGAAAGACATAAGGTGTTAAAACACCAGGGACGTCAAAATTGACATTTCACTCCAGTTTTTAGCCTGGAAAATGGGGGAAAAGACATGGCCACTAAAGTGGACAACCCCGTCTTTTCAAAGAGAGGACTCTATGGCCACTATAATGGCTATCCCGTCTTCAAAAGGTTAAAAGAATGGTTTTCTTCATAGACTCCTTCTATTTTCTGTATAATATATAACCTACAACATAATCTTACTACACATAAATAACTTAAAAGACAACGACTAGACTAGGAATAGAAACAAAAGCTTTGAAAAAATGATTTATTAGATTTATATTTACTTCTTTTTTGTATAATAATTCTTATTAATTTTACGAATAAAAACAAGATATCAGAAGTAAAATCACAATTTCTTTAATTGCACAAAAGTTCGATTTAACTAATGCTATGGCTACGCTTGATGTATTAATGCATTTTTTCTTAAATTTAGAATGAATTTCCTTAACTTAGTTCTTAAGTATCCAATTTAAAAAATACTCCTTTGTTTCTCTCCTACTTTGTTTTCCTTACTAAATTACTGAATTGGCTGCTTCTACTAGGTAAGAAGAGGGAGCTATTAGTAGTGTTGGTTTGGTAACAATTTCTATTCTGGCATACTTCTCTTGGATGATTTTAAATTCCAAAATTTATGATACTCGTATATTTTCAATGATTTAAATTTTGTTTATTTAGCAAAACACTCTATGGCTATCTGTCTAAGGGGGTATCTCTGTGGAGGACTTTCTAAGAGAAATTCGCTCGTATCTACGTTATACATGCGTAAAACGCGAAACTCCACGAAAACGCTAAGTATGTTTCATAATTTTTTCAAGATTTAAATTTAATAATTTAATTTTAGATATAATTATTTTAGAAATTTAGATTTTATACAGTTCATGAAAATTTTAGAAATATAGTCCAACTTGTCTTCATGAAGGTGTCACTTCCAGTAGGCAAATAGTCCTCACGTGCTTTATTAGATGTCATCAATAAATTTTTCCATTTTCTTGGCAAATTAATTCTGTTTACAAAATATAAAAACTAAAAGAAATACAGAATGGTTTCTATATACGTAACATATAAAATATGAAAGAAAATTTCCATCTTTAATTTAGCAATAGTCTTTTTAATTACTAATTTTAATTTGGCTACATTCTCATCTAAAATGCGTCATATCTAAAATCTAATCCGCATTATGTCATCTTTAAATCTGCAATGCAGCCACCTCTTATCCAATCGCAATCCAAAATTTAAACAAAGGATTCAGCTCTATAAATACTTTTTTGCTAAAATGCGCAGTAACTCGTGGCCTTCTAGCGCGTGTCTCCTTGCTTCGCTGTATCGCCTACTGTCCCGAAAGGGGATAAGTTGTATATAGTATTATGGGGAGCTTGTCGCACCCATAAATGAGAATATATATGTCGAAAATATTATTCATCAAGGAATAAATTTATGTAGTGCGTCTGCAACTACTTTTGATCTCCAAATTTCATTCGTCTATTACACATCCTAACTCTGTGCCAGAAACATATAAATTGCCTCCGCCATGTCTAAAAAATAATTGGTGTCTTTTCTCCCACGCATCCTAAAATACTGCTATCTTAAAATCATTAAGAAGGTAGCAGTAGTAGTTTTGTAGATGATTTTTATCATCTTAGAAAATTATCGCGCAGCCACCCACCTACCCCCCCACATATATATATGTGTGGGTGTCTGTGTCTTATGTAATACACACATATATATATGTGTGTGTGCATCGATCTTTAGATCCGGGCGTAGGGGCGAAAGACTAACCGAACCATCTTAGTAGCTGGTTCTCTCCGAAATTTCCCTCAGGATAGCTGGCGCTCGAGATTCACTCTCATCCGGTAAAGCGAATGTATGTGTGTGCGTGTGTAATACCACTGAAATTGCTACACCCTGAAAGGAGCGTCTAACAAAGGTCAAATCTGCGTGAAAATTATTGCATGCTAATACAGTCTAAAAATCATTAGCGTTCCAGCGCATGCGCATAAAAAATGATTCAGTAACGCCCTCTACACTGCGTATAAATGGAAAGATTACACAATAGGTAATCTAGCCATTTATACACAATGGAAATTCCTATTTATACATTTGAACATTTTTGTGAGTGTGTGTTTAAAAATCGTCTTATGCCTCGTGTTATGCCACTAGTACGTGTCCGAATTCGATCAAGGCAGATTCGTGGCTTATTCAGATTGTGGTTTATCGTTCCCCAACATTGCTGCTTATGTTGTTCGGGAAAAGGTGTGAGCACGGTTAGTGCGATGACGTCTTCAGCACAATGAAAGTATCAGAGAGGCGACCATTGTTACGGCTTCTCTTGACTCTGCAGTAGAAATAGGGTCGCCCACAGTAGTGAAATGAACGACGACAGTGCGCACAGGAGTGGCATCATGTCGTCATTTTGTCGCAGCATCATGACGGATATATCCGTATAGGGAGGCATCTAGGAGAACGAACGTTGAAAGCTTAAATTCTTCATTTTCATACGGGCCCAGCATCTGGTGTGCTGGTATACGGATACTCGTCAGGATCACCTCTTGTTCCCATAGCCGGTAAGGTGAACAGACACTGTTATATTTCTGATGTGTTAACGTTCGTGGATGTGTTCTATCTCCGACGCTTGCGTGACATCATCTTTCAACAGGATAGTGCACGATCGCATGTTGCCCGCTTGTAATAAACTTTCTTGATACAGAACGTGTCCGAATGGTGCCCTGGTCAGCACGTTCTTTAGATCTGTCACCCATTGAAAACATTTGGTCATGGGTTGCCGAGAGTCTGGCACTCCACTACTCACCAACCACTACGATTGGTGAACTCTCGCATAGAGCTGAAACAGCATGAAATGAAGTACTCATATCTGTCAGCCAAGCTCAATTCTACCCGTTCCCAGTCCAATTATAGCCGTTATTGTTGACAAAGTTGGCAGTTCTGCACACCGAATACCTCAAACCAGCAACAAATTTAATCATGTGTTTCTCCTATTATACTGTATACATACAATACATAACATTCTGCTATTTGTTCTCCTTACTGATGTACCAATTTAAAAGTGAAGTATTTTAGATATGTAATGTACGAAAAAATAAAATCTAAAGTTATTTCAGTACCTTAGAGTGACTTATTTCTTCATTTTCTGATTATAATCCGATCATGAAATATTTTAAAACTATTTTAAGCTGTGAATAATATTTGCAGGATTATACTGTGACTGGAAAAAGTTCTGCAAACCTCAGGAGAGTGGTAATGAGTTATCGCTACATCTTAAACAAATCTCAAATACTGAAGTTAAAATAACCTTTCTGTTTAGTTCTAACTGAACAAAACAGGCACAGCTTTTTGCTATAACTAACTTCCGCTACCTTGCGGGTATTTATATTAACATAACAGAAAGTTAAATTTTAATGCAGATAGGTTTCAATGTAATGTCTGAAACTACACATAAAATAATCTATCTAGCCGGACTCAGATATTTACCGGGGCGCATTTTTAGAACTATGGCTCGTAAGACGCTAAAACAGGAAATGCAAATTTAAGCAGAGCTGCCGACAGCATGTAACTGCAAGACGCGTCTGCCAGAATGTCATACAAGCATTCAAATTTCCCAACTTAATACAAACAACTCATTTCAAATCTGGAAATATAGAAAGAAGGTGAGGAATATAGAAAGAAGAAGTTCCAATTTTAGTATTATATGTACTGAAGCAAAATACTGGCTTTAATAATTGGATAATCAACATAAAATAGCTTATATACTTTTAGATGGATTTTTTAAATTCATTACTAATAAAGCAAAGCATACAGCAAGACATAAAGGAGTAAAATATGCAGCATTATCTATTCATCTAAGGTTCTTACAAATATGTAATGTTAAGTGCAATAAATACATATTTCTTTCGTAGTAGATGAAGAAATGCTGCAGTTAAGATTTAAGCACCCTTTTAAACGATAAACATGATAACAACTGGATTCACTGTACAGTTTGTATTATATTTGCTTCCATTTCTTAAAAGGTATTCTCTGTAATATCTAAAAATATGAAAGGATTATTGGAAACATTTGGAGGAGATGGAATTTGAAATATTCGAATTCAGAATTAGTTGAGGACTATTTTATAATAAATATAAACTGAAAGTACATTTACGACACAAACTAAAGTAATGTTATTCACTTATTGACATGCAAAACTGTCAAGAGCTTGCAATGTCTAAGCAGAAAAATTTAAATATATGTGAAATTTCTTCTTTAAATTTAATAAATTTAAACTAGTATTTTACATCATATTGGTTTACGCATTCAAAATATCTAAAACAGGCTGTGAATTACCTAAATGCACAATTATTCCAGAGAAACAGCTATATTTTGATAAAATATAATTTTTATAGACTATAAAGTAAAACTCTTCTTGAAAATGTTATTGAACTTCTATTTCAATCTATATAACAATAATATTTATATTACTGCATTTGGGAAGAAAAACTTCAGTTTATATTTTTTCCTCCTTATTTTATATTTTATTTATAAACATGTAAAGCATCTAATATTGATTTTTTTTTCTTTTTTCAGGACGCTTAATATCAACGTCAAATCTATTGTAAATATTACTCAAGTTAGTATTTTTTCCTTTATAAAATAATTTTATTTATCCCTTTAAATCACTCGTATTATCAAAACATTACAGACACACAAACCCCAAAAAAAACTGGAAAGGGAAAAAAAAAAAAAAAAGGCGGCAAATCAACTAAATATTTTTAAATAGTTTAAGATTCTCGAAGACTCTATAGAACCTCTCATTACTAAAGTATTAAAAATATTTTATTTAATTTATTAACTTCTGCAAACATAAAAAGGAAAAGTTGTGTGTCGAACTTATCAATAATTATTTTATCAACTATCGAACAATATTTCAATTTACTTAATCAATATTTCAATTTACTTACTAAGGCATATTCTTCGTTTTCCTCGCGATTAAAAATCAATTTAAAAGAAATGCTTTGTCATTGGATTTAGATTAAAAATGAGTTGCTTTTTGATTTTAATTAGAATTAAATAAACTATTTAAATTTAATACCACCACTGGACTTCAGAAAATAACCTCAGTCCACGGTTATTCATCAAGTAAACAAATTCTAGCTAAATACTTAATTGAAAGGCACTGTGATTTGTTATTGCCTTAAATCAAAATAGTTTTCATTTTCTTATCCGAAGCTTAATCATAAAATAAATATTTAAAATTGACAGCCGTAATTTATTAATTCCGCTATCTAAAACCATATTTAAGGAAGAAAATTATATTTTTACACCAATAAAATGATTTAATCTAATTGAGATACAACATGACTTTTCTTTCAGTTGCAGATAAAATTCGATAATAAAAGGGTATCGTGGAAATTAAAAACAGTTTAGGAAACTTAACTACTATAGGAATTAAATATTTTACTCTATTTTTATATACTAAAATTATTCAAGCTAACAAAAATTATGAAAACAGGTTTATCTTTTATGTTTTATTATCTTTTATGTATTTCGTGCAATATATTTTCCGTGTATAACGAAATATATTGGAAATGTCTAAACAGTATACTTCATTATGCAAAATTATTATACGTGTCTGAATATTAGCCTATCATTGGTACAGCAAGATGCAGTAAAACTAATCTTTAACTGCCAGTGTACGGATGCTATAAGATTTGCAAAGATGTTTTGTTTATTTTAGCTAACGAAATTCTGTACAATTCCTAACTTATCCTACAGAAATTCAGCTGGCGAAAATGCAGGAGCAAAAGCTGTAATTTTCTCTCATATTCAATTAACTGTTGTGAAACAACTCAAATACTATGATTTGAATCATTATACTGTTAACAGAAGGTACACAAAGAGTAGTACCGTTGCCATGAATGTTTACATCTTATATGCAGTGTTTCTTAATTTAGAATGAAGTGTTTTTCATATAAATGACTATTTTAAAAATTTCTTAGAAATTAAAATAAAAAAAAACATCGGAAAGGTTTCAGATTTTAAATAACGTCCAAAGAGGCTTTTTTTTTACATTTTGTTTGTTTACTTTATTTATTAAATATCATGTTCTTTACACTTCAACCATAAAATTCAATTCAACAGCAATATCTCAAAATAATTTTAAAATGAGGCATATCTTTAGATTTTCCGATACACAGTCTCGCGCGCTGCAGATAAAAATGTTTGTTTTCCGTACAGTATTGTCATTGCTCGCTTTGAAATCGTTGAGTTTGTTAATCAAAAATTCGTTAAAGTGTTACAAAATATGAAATCGATAATCAACCAAATTTCAGATTCCAAATTCGGGTTTCCAGATGCCCATATTCAGTGAAGATTACGCTATTCAAAATTGGAGGCACCGTTGTTTTATCACAGTGCGAGAAACATACATACATTTATGCAGATTCTTCATTATTTAATTTCTTTAAATATAACACAGGCTCTAATAATTGGTGGCAACAGTCTGAAAAGTGAACCGAAATTTATAGTGAATCGACGCAAAATGGCAAAACGAAATTAATAGCCCCTTTTGGACTAATAATGCTTTATTAGTTTTTTACCCCAAAGAGCGTGCCTTTTTGCAATGTTTTTTTTAATTCTCTCTTTGTAGGCGATCTCATATGTGAATTGACATCATGACATCTTGTTCTGCTTCTCCGTTTTTCAGTTCCTATAGTTACATTGTTTTCAAATGCTGTGAAATAAATTACAGGAAAACAGACATATTTACTGGAAAAAATCTCTTCGGTAAAATGCTTTTGACGTTCTGTGCGAAACTGCATTGTCCTGCTTCGTAAAAGTAATCATGATGTCATTTCATATATGATAAAATGAAAACGGAATAATTAATGAGTTTAAAAATATAAAAAGTAAAAACAAAACTTTAAAAATAAATGACAGATAGAATAGAACTCAACCGTCAATTTCGAATAGAACTCAATCGAAATTGATGGAATTTTAAACATGCTTGTGCATGTAAAATGTACTGTTCTTAAATTCTGCTTCTGCTCTTATACTCTTAGTTTTGAAATCCTTCCTTTCAGGAAGCTTTATGAAGAACTTAAATATTCACCATATCTTTATCTCTTCTGATGAACATCACATAAAGATATGGTGAATATATATTTAAATATTCACCATATCTTTATGTGATGTTCATCAGAAGGTGGTGAGTATAAAATAATACGCAGAATGATAAGAACATAAATAATTCTTAAGCTTAATTCATGAAGAGTCAATGAATAATCAGATGCTTAGATTTGAAGACAAGAATCAATAACTACGAACAGAAAGTTTATGGTAACATTTCGATGTGATACGAAAGTACACTATTGAATAACAAATGGAATATTATTAAATATAGCTAACATACTGTCAATATATATATTGAATTAAGGAGAATCCGTTTACCCCTTTTATTTCAGAATGAATGGTAAATTGGTCAGTAACAATAGTGTACAACATCACTGAATTATTGTAATCGAGATGAAGAAATATACTAATATGCAGTAGTTATCAGTTATGTCATTCAATAGAAATCAATCATGCAATGCAAAACCGTGGTATAAACACAAGTTAGATGATTTTCTGTCATATATGATGATATTTTTAGAAGTTATGATGAATGTCATAGGTTCTAAAAATTTGTTGCTTGGCTGGCTTCTCACCTCGTTTTTTCGACTTGGAATGCAACAAAGGTATATCCCAAGATATCTTTGATATATCGAGGTTTTATATCTTAAGATATCAGCAGCTATTATTGGGCTCGTTAATCTAAGCCTCTTTGAACTGACTTGTACCTAATGAGTTTACAAGTGCGTTTAAGTTTTTAAAAAAATAAAATATTGTTACGGATTTTGTATTTAGTTAGCTATTTTTAGTAAAATTGTAATTAAAATTGTTTTATTCTCCCGTGCAACGCAGCGCGTGACGAATTTTAAGAGAAAGCTACGCGGGAAAAGTAAAAATACAAGAGCACGTGCATTTAACATTTAATAAATTTATCTCCGCAACATATTTAATTTGAAATAATGCAATTGTGTGTTAGCTGTAACTGTAATTCTACTCGTTTGCTTTCCAGGAACCTCGAGAAAATATAAGTTACAGAATATTTTCGTGCATGATTAAAAAGCTTTAAAAAGCCGGAGAAAAACATCTCGGTTCAGTTGTTTACTTATCTGTTGATGTTGACTGTAGCGAATTCGCGGTGAGATCGGATTAGCATTCTTTACTTTTTTAATTGTGTTCTATTTAACGTTTTAGTAGTTTAAAATGTAACTACTGTGTGATATTGTACGAATATCTACGAGGAAAACTTTCAGCATTTTGTTTTATTTCTTGTGATAAGAATAAATTTTATTAACTTTTCATCGAACTTGTGCATTCAGTCTATTACGAACCCGTACGCACGCAACAATATACAGCATATGAATAACTTGTAGTGGTGTGTTTCTCGAAGTGTTCTTATGAGTGCTGTGGGTGAGTAATATTTCAATTTTATCGTGCTTGTAACGTATTTCCAAAAATGCTTCAAGGCAGCATACCCTGCCTTTTCTGTCGGGTCCATATTCAGCTGATAAAACATTAACACAGTTCGCCGCTTTAAGAAGACCATACATGTGATTTCACAATCTTAGGCGTTGTGGTATTCGATTCGATCAATACCGATTTCTGGAATATATCTTGATAATTCCAGACTTATGACTGCAAGAGACTATGATTGAGAGAGGTGTGCGGACCAAAAAACACCATAGTGGTATCAGGTTCTGTGTTTCTCCTTACTTGCTTTGGGAACATTCAAGAACCTGACTCGGAACAGGGAGCTTACTAAAGCTATGTTCAATAAATGTGGGAAGTAGACAAGATACACAGGAAGGGTATACGAAACCCTTTATTTTTCACTCTTTACAATGATTTCCGTACTTCGGAATACAGAGACCAACCACTTGTGGTCTGAACGTAAGAATATAAAAATATTAACTAAACTCTAACTTAACTTTGGAATAATAAACAAGGGCCTACGTGGAAGATTGGCCGTATATTAACAGGAAGCCGTATGTAGTACAGAGAACTGTTAATACTACAATACGTTTAAAATTATCAAGAGGATTAAACCTCTGGCCTGGAAGGCAACCAGCAACCGAGTAAAACTGCCAAGGCAAGCGGCCTGCTTCTAACTCCTTCCTCTCTCTCGCTTGGCAAAAAGCCACAACTTAAGTACTTGGCGTTCGCCAGACAAATTTGCATAAATAAGTTAAAGCTTTTAATTCTGGCCGGAAGTAGAAAATAAGAAGTGATAGTAAAGATTTAAAATAAAATAAACGTTATTAAAACTTAAGATCCTTACAGTGGAAGCGGTAGATTTTGAGCAAGCACAGTAGTCCTCATTGTGATAGAAGTGCCATAAAAATATTGTCGAAATTTATCTATAATTGTATTTACATAACTGCAAACGAACTCGCCATATTCTCTTATCGTTCAAAAAGTTTTTATCTAATCAATCTGAATAAACCTGTTTTAGGAAAAAAATTTGAAAAGTCTGATACGAAACTCGAATTTCGCTGAAAACTCTCGTTCGGAACTTAGTATCTATTACACTTATTTATATACCCCAGAATTTAAAATAAAATATGATTTTATTTGCTCATTTTTAAGCTATGAGTTTCTAAATACAAGCTGCAATAAATGCTTTCGAAACTTGGCTTCTTTTATTCCAAACTTGCTGGAAATTCACAATTACATAATTTTTCTCTTTCTATATAATAAAGTTTCCTTAAAACTTAAAGCATTTTTAAGAAAGAATAGACGAAAAACAAAAATACAGTAAGACCCCGCTTAACGCGGGGGATACGTTCCATCAAAGTAGAGCGTAATGCGAAACAGCGCTAAACGAGGCTATCTATACATGTAAATATTGGGGTTAGGGGAAGATGGCTAGGAAATTGGTTAGGTATTAAATTTAAAAAGTATGTTTTTTTAATAAAAATAAAACCAAACATTTATTTCTTAAAGCCCAAATTAATACCACATTATTATTTCTTGCAAAAATAAAAACAAAATATAAATAAAAAACGAAACGATATTCTTAAAAAAAACAAATAAAATTCTAAATCAGTAATATTTAGTTAGCCTTCCGCGTTTTCAGTGTTCTGCCTTTTTGCGACAAAAGCATCTAATGTTGTTTGCCTTTTTCTTTTGCGTTGTTCTCTTAAAAGTTCTTCATAAACGGATAGAGCATCTCTAACACCACGCCTTACTTTTGAGCTCCTGTCAAAATTCGGATCATTTTCAATGAATTGATCCATTATTTCAGTTATGGTAGACAAACTCCTTTTTACAAACGCCATCGAAAGTTCTTTTTGCTCTTCTTCTGAATCACTGCTGTCAACATTTTTGTTTTTCTTCTTGTTCAGTTAATTCCTTGAGCTCATCATTAGAAAGACTAGCCGCTGCTTCTTGAATTATTTCTTCGACATCTTCCACATTTACCCCTTCAAAATATGTCTGTACAATACCGCACCAAACAAGAAATTGCAAGTACACTCTTTCGGATATGTATTTGAAACCTATCGCTGCATAATATTTCGGGGAATCTCCGTATGCTGCGAGCGATTTCGTGGAATCCCCAGGTTGAAATAAAAGAGCGCTAAACCGAAACATCGCTAAACGAAACAGCGTTAAGCGGGGTCTTACTGTAAATCAAAACAAAAGTCAATGGAAACCGATGTAAAATACTAAGCTGCATTCCGTGGAATATATACATAATTCATTGAGCACGTTTTTAACGGACGTGCTTTCTCTAGACTGGAATTCCAATTTCAAGCTGCAGAGAAACGTGTTTTTAACCTAATTCCTTTCGGATGGGAAAAAAGGAAATGAAATGCTGGGTTGAAAACTTCCAAATGCAATATCAAACTTCAAAGACCTTTTTCCACTTTAATTCTAACTTCGCTTTCTCCTCCTTCTTGATCTTTATACCTTTCTAACATTCAATCTATTTTTGTTTTCAAATGTATTTATTTGTATTCGACTCTTTACTATCTGGTTCTGTATCTCTACTAGCGCATTTCGTGTTTTGATTTATATTCTGCTCTTATCTTTAGGATACCTTTCTCATTTTAATTTACATTCACGAATTTTTCTCTCTTCTTGATCCCATTTTTGTTGATTCATTTTCAGCAGGCAAAAAATTCCTATTGTGTGCAAATTATGAGGTTTCTGTTTGTCACGTACCCTGCAAATTTCGATTTCGTTTCACTTCTGGTAATTTCTTCCCAGTTTTACGTGTCTTCAGACTTTTCTTTTGCGTGCTTTATTGTTATGAATTTTAAAGCTCATAAATTAAAAAGCAGTCTTCGATATCACAGAACAGAATACGAAGTATATGTTAAAGCAACTAAAATTAAGAAACGAGAATTGGCATAACAGGAGTAAATTTGCAAACTATTATTTTCTATACTAAATAAAACCTTAAACTTTAGCTGTGGGAAAGAAACGTATATATTCCCATAACCGTGAAATAAAATTTATTTAATCTTCAAAATAATAATCTTTAAAATTACCCAGATTATACCGGTTTCTTTAGTTTGTTCTTAGTTACATTAGCGCTTGTTTCTTCGGTATGTTTGTTCTCTTACAACGCAAGCTGTTTAAGCACTTTACAGCTAATGTTTTACTTGAAACATCCAAGAAAGTTCAGTAGTGTAATGTAATACACGAGTGTGCTGCAACCCTCTTGGTCGATAATAAACGGTCTCATGGTTAACGCAGCACACCCAAAATAGTTTAAAACAAAAATATAGTTAAAAACATAAAATCAAAATTCCGAATAAATTGTTCTATTGTCATTTATAAAGTTCATCAAATCCTTTGCAAGTATAAACTCTTTTCTGCGGCAATGTTACTATGTTTTTCCCTAACATGTCGCAATAATATACAGTCTTTGACGAAGTGTCGTGCTTTGTCTTCAGTACTACAAAAATTACGAATTATTATTTTGCAAATTTCCTTTATCGGGATAAAGGAAAATTATTTATTTATTTATAATTTTCCTTTATCCCGAAATGTTCCATTTCTCTTTCCAGCAATCATAATAGAAATCCTTGATTTTACCAGTAACAATTCCTTTTTATGTCTGAATATCGAACACATTCCCGGCATTACCCATAGTAGCCTCTTTTACCAGCATGTCGGCCTTCTCATTGCCTATAACACCAATATAGGCTTTCACCCAGTTCATTTTCACTTCATGTATTTTCTCAAATTTTACAAAGAGATCTTTTATATATAAGACCAAAATATTAATGTTATCAGTAGTGTATAACAAATTATGAAAAGCTGCTGTTGAGGAAGTAGATTTCTTCAGATCCCCTGAAATTTTAGTAAGATTGAGTTTGTTCTCGTGTAAACGTGAGTATATGAATACCCATTAATGAACAACGTGGAGAAGAAACAATAATTTTGTTGTGAACTAAAAATTTGGAATTAAACAGAAATAGACTCAAATATTTTTGGTAAATCGCATTAACTGGTATTAAAAACTCGGCGACGAATTAGATGAGAAGATTCAGCATGTCAGCAAGAACAGTTATAAGAAATTAAATCATTACTTCTGTGAATGCTAAATGTAATATAATAGTTAACTCATTCAAAAGCAAGCGGAAAATCTGTATTTAGATTCGTAGAAAAGATGCATTGACTTTTTATATTTCCCGCTACAAAATAAAATTCAAAGAATATCTTTAAGGTCACTCGTACAAAGTTCTGGTGAGCGATTATCTGTCAACATTTGAATTTGCTAACTAGATCTCATTTTCTACTCCCTTTTCACTGAAGGGATATAAAAAATAAGTATTAAGGGATGTAAAAAATATACCATTTATCCCTTAGTGATGTTTTCGTATAATGGCCCACCAGAGCCATCCGGAGTTCGATTCAGGAACAGTTCGTTTTCCTCATTTACTGCTTCGTAATCTCCTAATTGTCTCAAAAAAGTAACATTTATCATAGTCAGGTAAGTGAAGTATTAAACTCTCTAAATGACACGGACTAGATTAATTTCTAATCAAAAGGACAACTTTCTGCCGAATATCTCACCTTTAAGTTTGCTTTCTTGAAAATAATAGGGGGACCGGAAAGTAATGTCGCTTTCTTACATTAAATTCAAACGAATACATTTTAACAAGTTTTTATTTTTAACCAATAATATAATCACCCCCGTTATCAACAACTTTTTGCCATCTAATGTGCAAATTTTCAATCCCGGACCGATAAAAATCAATTGGTTTTTGAGTAAAATATCTCGAGAGGACATTTTGGACATCATACAAATTTTCAAATTTTTTGCCACAAAGAAAATGTTGTAGGGATCCGAATAAATGGAAATCCAATGCTGCGATACCGGCCGAGTATGGTGGGTAAGTATGGCAGTACCTCCTACCCCAATTCATTAATTTTTTCTAGTGTTCGTCTTGCATTGTCGTGTTGCAGAATGACGCCTTTTCTGTTGCCAATTGATATTTTTCGATTAAAGATTGGTTCACTCCATCCAATTGTTCCCAATAAAGGTCTGCATTAACAGCTTTCCAGGTTTCAGCAATTCAAAATGGACAATTCCGCGAATACTCCATCAAACACCCAGAAACGCTTTTTTGAGACGTAAACCCTTTGTAAACCCTATTAAAACTGCCTTTTGAGTTTTGGATCATATAGGACTAATCAAACGATCAAAAAACGGTTCTGTATGGTGCCGTTGAAGCAATACGTTGCATGTGATGGACAGGTTGGCTTTGTTCTTTTCGGACAGATTATGGGCGATTTAAACACCTGCTTTGTTTATTTTTTCATTCTGCTTTAAATATTCTTGGATGGTCGACCAAGGTTGGTTAAGAGTGTTTCACATGGATTTGCTTCCACTTCTGCCCTTAGCATGTTGTTGTAGACATGCGCAGAAACGACATTACTTTCCGGTCCCCCTATTATTAACATGCTTTGTTTTAGATAAAAAAATAACATCTTTATTTAGCTTAGATGTTTTAATAACGTTTTAATAATAAGTTTCAGCTATAACGGTATAATGGTTTTATTAACAGCTTCAAAATCGTATATAAAATCACTGTTTTTCTATATTTTTCTACCTATGCAGATAAAAACTCCCGATCATTATTAATGAAATTGTTTTATTCTTCTTGGTATTCATAAAATTCACCTATTTCAGACTGCTTTTATTTCTTTCATGATACAAAATTTCTCATTTAATTTTGTGAACCATATTGCAATGTAAACAAAACTACTGAATACAATATTTAACTGATAATATTTTAATATTTTCCTTTTAATAATTCAAGAGCACTTAAATATTCAACTAAAAATTCAACTTATGCAGAATTGTGCATTTTTATGTCTTCCAGATTATAGCAAATGAAATGAAAGCTAGAGGTCAAGGTGGTTCCATCGTGAACGTATCAAGCATGCTAGCTTTATATACGGTTCATGGTTACGGGTTTTACTGTGCTAGCAAAGGAGCCGTTCATCAGTTGACTAGAAGCATGGCATTAGAATACGGACCCTATAATGTAAGTTTAATGCCTTTCAAGTTTTCTGTATGATGTAAGTTTATTAATTGTTAGCATACTTGTAGGCTTCATTGCTTTTCGTATACAGTCAACTCACGCTTATCGGAGATGGTTTAATGGCCTTGCGAATTAATGAGCACATTATCTGAAAAAAGGTTACTTTTTTGTATTACGAAACGATAGTAAAATCATTGTCACAAATAATCCTAATAAAGCGAAGTATTTACAAGAAATATAAAAAAGGCGTGATAAAATAGCAGTGATATCAAATAATGTCACTGCATTTAAGAATTATTTTTATCCATAGCAGAAAGTAAATGAATTGTACATAATTTGGATCGGTTTGATTTGATTAGGGGAAAGTACTCGAGGGCTATTTATCTAAAGGTTGCCTCACAGAAGACTTTCTAAGTACACAATACGGAAGATATGAAGAACGTTAAATTACTCGATAAAAAAAAGCAGCTAAATGGTAAAAAACCTCTGTTCTCCTGTTGACTCTTATCTAAACACAAGAACAGCATAAAAAAGCCATTTTCTATTTCTTGTTTTGATTTAATTTACATAAAGAAATGAACTTATTACCCAAACTAAAAGAAATTGAAAGAAACTGAAAAGACTAACTAAGGAAAGTTAGTATTGGAAGCAAACTAAAATAAAAGGAAAATACTCAAAACGTAACACAAACACCCACTTACATGTAAACTACTTTAAGCCAATTTTATCTTGATCTATGCTTGCTATAGGTTTCTCTCCATTTAAAATTTTATAATAAATTGATATTTTCTTTTGCTGCACTATTGTAATATAATGCTTTAAAGTCTTTGTCTGCTCCTCCTGAATCTCATCTCTAGTGATTGCACACTCTTCAACAATAAGACAAGCATGTCCAATCTCATTGCATAATTTACGTAAATCATTATCTTGAAGCCTAAACATATTAAAATAATAGAAAAACCTTCCATAGCCACTTATAATTTTGATTAACTGCTACGTTTCAGATAGGTTTTGTATTTCTTTTAATTAAAACATTCCTTTGTTATCTTTGAGATGTATTTGTAATTCTTTCAAGGTCTTTTATTTTGTAAGACCAATAGTATCTTATTCCCTTAATCACTTACATTATTTCAAAACATTAATTATATATATTGGATACATTGTTCGCTTATTTTTATAATAAATTGACATTCATTTAACATAAAAATGGGAATAAACGCATGTAATGCACTTCAGTATTTTCTATTAAAGTCTGGAACCATGGACTAAAGGTCTTAAAGAGGGCTTCATTATATGTATCTCTTTCTCCGAGATTGACACGACTGCATTAAGTATTCAATTTACAGCTTATTGTCGGTATAAATCATTACGTCGCATCAGAGGAAGTCGTATTGAAATAATAAAACGCTTCATTAAGATTTTGTTTTCGGTGTTTCTTTATCAATTGAATATAATTCTGAGAAATTATGATATCTGTCAAGTAACATAAAAAATTAACAGTGAATATTATATAAAAAAATATTGTGGTCCGTGTATCAAGTGTTATATCTTTTTTTCTTTTCTTTTTCAGATCCGAGTTAACTCCGTTAATCCCACTATCGTTCGCACTGCAATGGCGGAAAAAGAAAATTTGTTTGATCCCAATAATCAGTTCATTAATATGATGAAGAGTAGAACGCCTCTTAAAAGATTCTGTGGTAAGCCCCGTGAATTTATCACTAAATTTTAATAACGTCAGTGGAATTTTTCTCCAGTTTTGACGCACATGCATATATGCTCCAAAAGTTTTAAAAAACGAAGTTTGACTTGCCATTCAAAGCAAATATACATCTGACGCTATCCTGTATCGGCAGTATTGATAAAACTGTAAATAGTCACTGAATATTGATTAGCATCATTTAGGAACTATACAAGTGAGTACAAATTTCGCTAATTTTAAGCAAAGCAGTGGTCTTACTTTAGCGTAGATTTTGAGTAAGATTTTATAGGTTTAAAGGGTGATCATATACAGGTCTCTCTTCTTCAGGAGCAAAACAACTTCTGAAAAAGAGGGACCTGTATTTAAACATCTGGTTGTATTACTAATATATGGTCCAATTATATTCGTATTTATTTAAATTTTTGATAATTTATTATAAGCAAACGTTTTAACTCGTACTCGGAGTTTATATACTTCTAACCCAAGTCGCAAAAATTTTTATTTGAGAAAAAGGGGTCGCCAAATGGGAACATTTGAGAAGCTCTGACCTGGAAAACTAAGCGTTTTTTTTTTTTCATATATATGTAATTATAAACCTAATCGAAACAAATCATCATGCCTTTATTTTGCACTGTTTAACAAACGAACTAACTACGCAATGAAATAAATTTAATTAAAAATAGATCTGCTTGACAGGAACTCGAATGAATCGGAATAACTAAATACATTAGCAATTTATTGTGACAAAATCAATGAGGTTTATCTGCCTAGTAAGACATACCTTTCGCAGAAGTTTTTCCTCATAGAACTTAACTCATAATTATGTTACATGGAAAGCTAAGCATGCTACCCTGCCCAGCGAATCGTTGTTAAAAATCAAGCTCGAGCACAACTATTAACAATTAGTGGTTTTACCTTGCATAACCCCCCCCCGGTGAACTTCGCGGATAAAGATATAATTTTAAATAATTGCAATAATTGATATTATAGTTGAAAAATGCAGAATGTTTAACAAGCTAGTAATGGGGGAGGGTATAATAAGGCTTTAATTAAAATATAAAATTAGTGAAGTAATTAAATAAACATTATAGTACATGAAAAGTAAAGACTGGATGGTTTCGAAAGAAAAATTATTCTATTTTGCTCAACAACAAATAAATCATTCCCCAGAAATCACGATCTAAAAATTCGATAAAATAACATAAAACGAGATTTTTCGGCGAATAGAAGACACAGTGTTATCTTATGAACGACAACTAAGGTAGAAAAAACAAACACAAAACATTAAAACGGATGAAATTTGAAGACAAAGGAGTTAGGATTAAAATTCAGCCATAAAATAAGACTTTTCTCGAGTTCTTAAAGCAATTTATTTGTTTTCTGAAAGCTTTTCAGGATAATGTTGTCTGAGAGAAATTTAAATCGATGGTCAGTTTTGGTTTGGTTTGTTTGATTATGGCAAAGCACTCGAGAGCTATCTGAGTAAGGAATATTGATTTAAATTTGATTGATTTAAATAAAAATGTATTAAAATTATGAGATATCTAATTAGAAATATTCAATATTTTTATGAAGTTACACTAGCAGAACTTATTGAAATCATCATATACTTTTTTAAAATAATAATATAGTAAATGTAAAAATACGTATAGCAATATCCAATACGTTACTGGGAATTCTAAAGATATGCTGCTTTTAAACATTTTGTGATTTTGCTGTTGAATTAAAGTTTACGTGGCTTAAGTTCGAATAACCCGATATTTTATAAGTAACGTTAATGCATAAGAAGTTAATAATAAAAAGACAACAAAAGTTTTATAAGCCATCTTACTAAGAAAACTGAACATGGATATGATGAACTGAGAAAAATCTGAAATAAATATTAAAATGCAACACTTAACACTATATCGGGAATTCTAAACATACGCTGCTATACTGCTTTTAAACATTTTCTGTGATTTTCCTGTTGAACTGTATGGGACGTAAGATCGAAGAAAACAATGCTTAACAGTAAAGCTAAAAAGACAAAAAAAAAAAAAAGGCGATAGCAGAAATGAGTGACTCGTAGACTACGAGTTCAACAAGAGCGTAAAAAAATGTAATAAACCCTTTTGAACGATCGTTAAAATCTGAAACCTGTCAAATTTTTGTTATTTTTTATTTTCTGGCACATTATCTTAAAAGATTTTTCTTTATTTTCCTTGTTCATTTATTGCTTTGTAACAACTGAAATTAATATTGTTTTCCAGAACCTGAAGAAGTGGTGAATCCTATTCTGTTCTTGTTAAGTGACAAAGCAGCCATGGTTACTGGAATAGCTATGCCTATAGATGGAGGTCTAAGTGTAAGCTTCGCTTGAAGTGCTAATTCGCAAAAGGTGGCAGTAATCTTCAGCTTCATACTTTCATCATTCAATGTATTTTTAAGGGCTTTCTCAACAGCAGTATTTACATCACTGCTTATCAAAACAGAAAACTGCTTATTTTTTATAAAATTATGAATGCATATCTAACTATTTTGCAATAAAAAATAGTTTCCACTGTTAATGTTTTACATTTCTTTGCTTGAACATGATTTTCATTTTACCTTCACTTTCTATAGATAAAGAACGAACTTATAATTTGTTAAAGCTATGTACTAAGGAATTTCCCTGAGTGTTCCCTTTTCAGTTCTTTCTGTTGCTTCAATATTTACTCGAAAACTAGATAATTACTCTAAATGTTACAAAAGTATCAAGTACTTAGTACTTTCCAGCACATGCTGGAAAAGTTTCAAAAAGTGGCAGTGTTTCACACTGAAATATTCGACATATGACCGAGATTAGAACATGCACTACTTACGCACCTAATGTTCAAAATGCACGTTACACTGTCAAAGAACGTAAGGCACTCTATTTGAAATATTCTTTGAACGCTTAGATGAGGCTTCAGTTAGTACTGAGCTATAGTAACTGGACTATAATAATTTGTTCCATTACGGAACAAGACAAATTCAGCTACTTAAAAACAATATGAAATCCAGTGTTGTTATTTCAAGCAGTTTATAACTCATAATTGGAGTTTTTCAGTTGCACATATATTACTGTATTTTATTTGTGCTCTTAGAAATACTGCCCGCCTCTTAGAGGTTGTTTCCATGCAAATTTCAACTGCATTTGTTATCGAAATATATAGGCTATGTTGCTACAACTGTTTCCAATAATAAATGTTTAGTTTCCGATTTGAAAAAGATGTGATTTTGTTCTGATAACAGAAAATCTTCTCTCCATTTTTCACAATTTCAGATTTATACTCAGACGGTCATTTAAGGTTTCGATTATTTCATATACAGATGGAGGACAAAATAATACGAACACCTGTGTAATAATGGAAAATCTTTATTAATAGGTGGTTGGACCACCTTTTGTTTGAAGTACAGGTTATAAATTGATATTTTTACCAAAAATAATATGAAACTGTTAAAAGAATCATTATTTGTAGAAGAAAATTTGTTATTTATAAGTAATCTCCCCGGGGACATTTATTCTCAATTATTCTTGGTGTACATTGTTTGATAATTGTTTTGCTTTCCACTTAAGAATCTTAATAAAATTTAAGATAAATATTTTGGATCACATTGTATGTTTCATTTAATCACTACTCATGATCATCACCAGTTATCAACACGAGGTTATTTCCGTTCATATTAATCACAATGCAATGCTTGAAATAGTTAGATTTTTAGGTAAATTCAATTTGTGTGAGGTGTCTTCTTAAAAGGCACCTTAACAGTATTGTACAAACGCTAATAGCATCAGACGTTATATTACATCCCAATGAAATTTTTATTCTGACTTATATACTTAACAGTCAAACGTCAAAGATAAGTTCCGTCTCATTGTATAAATACAGTAGTTAATCGCTACACGTCTTTTTTGAAGTAATTCTTGGTATATGTTCTGTTCGAAAGAGAAACGTTTTGTTTGGTATGCGATATTTGCTCGGAATACGATTCGAGTTCGATGAGTCATGACTGCGTGCACTATTCGAGACTATGTTATGACTGCCGATGAGTGTCGTTACGCACTCGCTGTTTTTGTAAATTCGTTTACAATTAGTTTTAGGAAAGTTAATGAGAAGCGTCAAGTAAGGATGGAAATTTTTAGGATTACCGGAGATGTGAAAAAAGAGAATGTTGAAAAATATGAAGGCACCATGCGTATCCCAGACTGTCTATTAAATACGACATACTGAGTATGATGATATCTAAGATTATAAAAAACAAAGACGATATTAAATCAGCTAACGTTGCGATGGAAGTGAAATTTATTACTAATCAAAGATCTGGTACAACAAAGAATGTTTAAAACATTCATGTACAATATTATGTACAGTGCTTCATTTATGTGCAGTATAATTTTCACACACAGCATTTGTATTTTGGTATTAAACAGTGTTTTAATAATAACAATAGGATTTTACATAAGAATGGATCACTTATTTTCCCTTTATTTCTTATTGGAATAGCTCGCTGGTACGTCCAGTTTGGTGTACTTCTAAGGATTTGAAACGGATTAATGGCGTATTACCGAAGTACCACTGTATTTTCGGATTATATTACGACTAGGCTAGATAACACTGAAAATAAATTAGCGATATCTTAAGGAAAATAGCAATAACCATACCATCGTCAAAATAGTGCTGTAAGAGGAAGAATAAATTCATCGACAAAACTATTGTATCACCTCTCAGTTATCAAGATGCAGTTTTCTTTCACTAATTCGAATTTTTTACCTGTTGCATCTATAAATAAGTGTAGGATAACAGATAATATAAATAATTTCATTTTCAACATTTTCACTTCATATACGATAAATTAAATCCACCTAAGTACCGCAGTTCTAGACTTTTTTATTGCCGGTCTTTTGATGCCCTGCATTGAAAACGAAGACGTCTTACCCATTTAACTGTTACAGGATATTTTGTCGTTAAAATTATAATCTTTTTTATACCATATTAAATATATTGATATTTACTTAATATGATTACAAAGAAGAATTTAAATTAGTTCGGTAAAGAAGTTTTAATGAAAGAAATCGAATGTATAAACGGTTTAAGGATTTATTGCTAATTTGATTATAAATCATAAACTCTTGAATACTTTTTAACATTGTATTGATACTCCGGTGAAAGCTTTAAAACATCTATTTTGGACAAGGGAAGCAAGTAACTATTCGTCAACATGTACATCACACAGAAATTTGTGAAAAGTGTGAAATCAAATCTTCATACACATAACAATGATGAATGGATTATTGCATAATCCATAAAGTACTGAATTCGTTCCTTGGTTAACAGGTTGGTTATACTAGGTTTTTATGTTTCATATATTGACACAATAGATGAAAATTCAAATTTTGATGTAAAAGACTATTAGCCTTTCTTCCTTCAGTAAGGCAGCAAAAACATTGTATGGCGGGGCTTTCCTAGTGAAGGAAATACTTTTATATGCACTTAACTTGAAACTGAATCTGAAAATAAAAAATAAAAATGATAATTGCTTTAAATGTCTCTGCGAAAAATACCACCCTTTTGTTTCAGAAACTAAGATGAAGATAGATTTTAATTGGGCCTGGGATTAGGAAATTAGTGTTAGAGGAAATTTATGTCATAATATCATAAATTAACTTGACAGGAAAGCTGAATTTGCCCAAAAATACCATATTATTCTAATTTTTGGTTACCAATTACAATTAGGGCCATGTGACAGTATCTGAAATTGTGCCGAACAACATCAAATATTTAAGCTCCTGAATGGTAAATAACTTCATTTTTTAATTCATATTCCAATCTAATTTTCTATAATATTTTGTGGCAAGGAAGGTACTTTGACTGAAACATTAAGGAAATATAAAAAATACATCAGGGAAATTAGAATTATTGCAAATTAATGCTTTCTATTGCATCACCAAAATTCAGAGACATTATGCAGACTGTCCCAAGATAAACCGAACCCAAATTAAGGATAGGATATCATACAAGAAGAAAATGCTACCTTCAAATACATTAAAACTTTTCGGCTTCTGCTCTCCCATGGCCGGTTCGGTTTATGTTGGGTCCCCTTGTATAAAACAATGAACAGCGAAAGGTGCTGCACTAACAAGAGCAGTCCACGGCCTTTGACTAAAACATTTCATATCTTTACAAATAATTGCAACAAATAATATTTTACTGTCTTCAATTAAAAGGTTGAAAACGCTTTGACATGGTTAAATATAGTAGCAGATTGTAATTAAATATTAAACGCTTGTATTCATAACAAAGCGGTAATTGTAGCCAGTAGCTCAGTGACAGTTATATTAATTTGCTATTGGTTTAATGCACGTTCCGTGCTTTCCTGGTATTCTGGCATCCGTCATACTGAGTTCTTATAATCCAAAGTTCAATATAAACCTTTCTTACTAAAATTAACTATATATTCTTTTCAACTCTAGTTCAACTTCTTAGTGCTTATTTAAAGTTGTTTTCTAGTTCAGTGAAGTTATCGTCATTTTGAAGTTTACTCTATGCTATATTCTAAAAGTTAACCGACAAACTAATTTTGAAAGAATTGAATTTCCAAAGTTAGAACTAAACCGTCTCCATACTTCTGGTAATTACATAATTAACAGTAAATTTTTTAAGCTAGTGATTCGAATAGCATTCAAGCTAGCTCATTTCCTGTTTATGTCTTAATTTTTAAATTATGTACCACAAGCATAGCTAAAAATAAAATTTTAGTTACAATACAGTTCAAGTTTTCCCCCTCTTTTTCTGGCAATAACTTGCGCTGAGACTTGCATAAAGAAGCTGCAGTACTTTTCCAGCAGGTAGTTTTGGATTAAAAAATTCAGCTTTATGAAATGATAATAGAAGATTTAGTACCCAAACATTTTTTTTCTCATTTGAGAAATTTTTCACTTTTGCACAAAGAAAAGAATTTGGTCTCATGATAAGAAAATAGCATTTCAAGTCTGATGAATGTGCCTAATCTATATGTACTTAAAAAAATTATTTCTAAACTTCTTATTTAATTTGCATTTAATAATAATGAATTTGGTAATTTTACTTACACTAATCATCATCATCATCATTATTATTATAAGGGCACAGCCCCGATCCTCTTAGTCGTCATAAGCCGGCCGTATGATCAAAAAATGGGACTTACTTACACTAATATAAACTTATGATTTTTAATAATGACAGCTTGTCAATTAGAAGTGATAAATTAAAAAGTTTAAAATACACTTATCATTTGTAATGACGATACATAATCTTTTACTTTAGGATTGCTATGGTCACCAAAAACGTTTCTTTGATATTTAACTATTACAGAGCTAAACCTCCAGCAAAAAATGTCTAAATAATTTGTTTTGTTGCTATGGTTACGTTGTTTTCAAATGCTGCGATATAACAGCCTAGCTTAAAAGATCAGCCTTTAAAAGTTTACGACATGAAACATGTCTAATATATTAGACATTCTGATCGATTATCTATGTGTCTACCCATTAAAGAATTGACCTTTTCATA